GTTCTAGGGGTGGAACGGTTCACAAAATCCACGGTACAGTTCGATTCGGTTCACGGTTTCGTGGTCACAGTTTTCGGTTCGTTTCGATATATGCTTATTGTTACACCGAAAAATAAAAAAATTAATGAAATTTTTTTTTTAATGAAATTAATGAAAAAACTCCCAAAAAATTAATGAATTGTAATTATTTTTATTGATTTGCGGAAACCCTGGATCATTTCCGCATGTTTTGCTGCCTTGAATTTAATCATCTGGTGCATGCCCTCTACGATCTCCAAGGGACTCGGAGAGGAGCAGACGAAGCCACAGCGGAGGCTGTAGGCTTTGCTTTGAGCAGGCGGTCTGGAGCGAAGCGGGGCAGAGCGGAGTGCTGACGGAGTATGTGGGATTTCGGAGTTAGCATGACATGTTGGTCATGTTGCTGTTAGCATAAACAAAACGTGTTGCACAATGCTTGCACACTGTTGCACTTTTATCCACAACTTTCTTTCCGCCGTCATCGTAGGTCACTCTAAATGCAAATGGTTCCATACAGCAGACCTATAAAGTGCTGCTGGCGCGTCTTCCAACTCCTGTTCTTTCCCACTCGCCATACCCACACAATTCTCCACAACAATTAATTTTTTTCTGCTACACCCGGCTAAGCTGCTTCGCTTCTTCTTCTTGTTTACTACTGGTGGTTGGCTTTGGTCGCAGCACCGCCACCTTCTGCTCTGGAGTGTAAACGCTTCGCCTATGAGAGAAAGCAGCAGTGCATGAACCGAACGCAACACACGCGAACCGAACCGAGACAGTCGAACCGAACGGTTCTGACGGTTTTCATAAACCGTTCCATCCCTACTCTGTTCAGTAAAACAGTTTTTTTTTATATGTTTGTGGTTGAACATGTTCAAATGAGATGATCAGGTTGTGAAAGTTAGAAATATTCTAGACTTTATCATAAACGAAAAAAATATTTCGCAAAACCTACATTGTTATTTTATTTGTAACTTCCATTCATTAGAAAAGTTTTTTGTGTCAAAGAAAAAAGCTTTTCAAACTGATTTTTTTTACAATTTGCAATTTAAAGCCAAGAAATTAACCTTAGATAAAAAAAAAAGTTATATGACAGCATTTATCATTTTAAAATTAATTGTATAAATATATATTCACCTGGTTTTGTAAAACCAGGCTAATGGGAGTTTCTTTATCACTGCTAGCATGAGTTTTATTCAGCAAATCTGTTTTGTAATACAAAGTATTTGCTGCTGCCTCGTTTTGAAAGTTATGTTTTTGTTTCCTTTGGTTAAAAAAAGTGTTGGAAGCTCCCTGCTTCCTGCACTAATGCCCCGAAAATTATCTACTTCTTTATGTTTTGGCAAGCATGAACCTATCAAACATAAATGATATGAAAATCTACTGAACCGGTTAGTTTAGCTGACATGTTATACAGTGTAGCTAAGGTGACATGCCCTAAATGTTTTCTAACTTGCACAGTGTCAATGACAGTGATTGGACACCTTGTCGATTGTTCTGATACTCCAGCATTTCTGTCGGGGAGTAAAATAAATTAGATGCTCGTTGAACTGCCCTGCAGTTGCAATGTGACCGCTGGTAATGAAACTGAAAGCTTAAAATACACAAAACTCTACCAAAGTACAGTATCAGCAATGTGTTATAAAAAATAAAAATAAACAAAATAACCTGAATCTGATTTCTGGATGCTGCATTACATCAGTTTCAGTCTCCAGATGCTTATAGAACAAACACACACTGTAGTTGTGTAACTGCAAATGTGTGGAGATACAAAAAAAAAAGAATGAAAATCAAGCATACAAAATGTCATATTCCCTCTATCTTTACTCTAAAATCCAAACCTCCAACATCTCAATCAACATAAAATTTCAACTACTTTGTATAAAATCAATTTTCTCTCTAGCTTTGTTACCAAAATCTGGACCACAATCGAGAACAAACTCTGTATATTTGTGCCAATAAATCACTGCAATCTTATGCATTGAGATAAATGTCTAAATAATGTGCATTAAGTTAATAAACCTGAATTAAGTTTAGATTTTTATGTGATTCTTGTCATCAACTAAAATACAAACATCAGATGTTTCATCTGTGAGAAAACAAGTTTTAAATCTACAAACATACCACAGTATAAGTCACTTATTTACTAGCTAAATCTACATTGGCTGATGAAGCATTTACACTCCTTACCAGTAGGAGGCAGTACTGTACCTGAAAATAGTTTACAGACTGCCTTTAAAGGTGAAAATGCGGAAAAAGACAAAACAGAACCATTGAGTGGACGTTCTACTGCACAGGCGATGACATCAACATTTCGGAGAAGACTTAGACTGTGTCTGAACATCCCCACCACTGGTTACGCCATTTTAAATGAGTGTCCGAATGTCTGCGCAATGAAACAGTAGCGGACTTAAAATTGAAAAGTAGTGATCACCCTTGGTCACTAAACGAGCATCCCGAGAGCTCTCCTCGAAAAGCATCAGATTTATTGCGGTGGAGATTCATATAAAAGATGGTGTAGGCAACATGCGGGGAGGCAGATGACTAACGGGGTGTGAAAAGTAATGATGACCTGTCCGAACAGTAAGTTAACTGAGTTCGTGGCGTGCACGTAGAACAGTGGTTAGCGCGCACAACACACGTACGCCTTAGTCCAGAAAAAGAAGCCACTAGTGCTGTAAAAAACAAAAAACTGAGTTCGCTATAAAGTCCACTATATAATCGCTGCTCTATATAGTGATGGTTAGGATGGACGTTCAGACATAGCTATAATGTTAAATAATGCCGTTTCTCAATATGTGTACTTTTGAGTTCTCGTGCTCGTGTACACGAAAAACGTCATCAGTACTGTTCCAATTCAGAAGATCACAAGACTGAAAATGGACAAAGTCCCCAGATGTTGTTCTGGCCCCTCCCTCTTTACCCAGCATGCATCAGAGCAGACTTGTCCGTTCTTGAGACTGACAGCTGTCCCAGCATGCACTGCGGCAGCAGCAGCTTCCAGGTTAGCGCTCACAGAGCTCAGAGTATTAAGTTAAAAGTTCACTTTTCTGTTGCCGTTGTTCAATAAAAGTAACTTTTAAGATCATTTGAGAACATTATACTTTTAAGCTTCACTATACTATACCCATTTAATGCATAATAATAAAAAAAAAGGTCAGATGTTGAGAGGACTGCGGCAACCAGCGGAGGGTAATGGGAGCCAGGGCTAACGTTAGCCCGTCTGCATCAGCGGGGCTAACGTTAGCCCGTCTGCATCAGCGGGGCTAACGTTAGCCCGTCTGCATCAGCGGAGCTAACGTTAGCCGGTCTGCATCAGCGAGGCTAACGTTCGCCCGTCTGCAGCAGCCGTGGCTAACGTTAGCCCGTCTGCAGCGGCCCTCCTTCTGCATAGCCATGTGTGAAGTATCGCTCGCTCTGATGGAGAGTTTTTTGTTTTATTTGGCAAAATGTTCATTTTATTTGCGTTAATCTGACTGTGTTTATTATTCTTCCCCCACTACATGAAAAAAGTCAATTCATTATTATCTAGAGACCAATACTAACAGGAGGTGAAATGCAGCCCCAGATGACATCACCACACCAGTAAACTTCTGTTCCAATTGACCCATATTTATGCTGCGTGCTACCGTTCTCCCTAAACCAGACTTTCCTGTGTTCTGCTCAAGAATACACTTGGCGAGGACACAGGCCTGTACTTGCATTCTTGTGAATTGACAAACAGCCGTAGACTGTGTCCAAACATCCCCATTGGCGGTCACGCCATTTTAGGCGAGGGTCCGAATGTCTAGTGGATGAAAAAGTAGTGGACTTAGAATTTCCTACAATTCACCTTGAAAAGTAGTGATCACCCATGGTTACTAGATGATCAGAAACATCCCAGATCGCTTTGCGAGAGCTCTCCTCGCAAAGCATCATGGGAGTTGTTGTGGTGGCAGGGAGGTGGAGTTACGTGACCAACGGGGAGTGAAAAGTAGAGATCTTCTGTCCACTATGTTATTCCACTATATAATCCCTGCTCTATATATTAATGGAGGGATTTAGGGGTTAGGGGGGACATTTTTTTATCTTTTCATCTTCTTCTTGTCATAATCATTGGCGAACAACCTGCAGGTGTTATACTGCCACCAACTGGTGAAGAGTTTAACTTAGTCTGGGTTTGTAGGTTCATACTCATGAAATGTGTTATTCTTAGTCATAGTTTTTTTTTTCTAAGTTGTAACTTTGAAACATGTATTTGTAACTTCAAAACTTGGATTTTCACAGATGAAACATCTGATGCCACGTGTATGTATGAGCTGACACAAGAAACAAATACGAATATTAAATCTATCCATGTTTAGTGACTAACAATTTCAAATTCAGACACCTATGAACATTTTTATCTTACCTCATAAAATGTGCTGATTTTAGTAGCAATTAATGAGGAGAACTCGCATATAAAAAACCTTCTGTTTACCAAACGGCAATGTGAAATAAACCCATAGAAATACACTGCCTTATAGAGATGTTCTAACTTCCCCTATGTTTTACCGTCTTGCTACCATGTTGTCTGTTTCCCTTTTGCACCCATAAACAACTTGGTAAACAGTGATGGATCTAAACTATTGTTTAAGTTCTCACTTTGTTTTAAAATGACCTTCATTTTTCCTTCAGTTATAGATTTCTATACCTAACTGTATATTTCTATTCCCTCTCTCATTAAGCTGCACTGCTTGGTCAGTGCGAAGCTTCTTGTGACATTTGACCAAAACTGCGAGGATTCACAATAAAAATGGGGCAAAATAACCTGCAACCACATAATTCAGTAGTTGATAAAGATAAGAAATAAATGTAAATATCTTTAGATGCTCTTCAGTGGACATCCCTTTGTGTCTCTGCCTTGCTGTCCAGCAACAATCCTTCAAGATCTGATAAATGTCAAGTTAAACTTTGCTTTAGCTTTAAACATTTACAAAAACCATTCAATCCAAACATGTTCCTCATCTGTAGTTAGGGATTTAATCAGGTGAGATGCAGGAACATGTCACATGACTAAGATTGTGAGCTTAGAGCTCAACTTGAGACTCTATATCCCATCCAACAGCAGGAGCACACGTGTCTGAGGTTCGGCATGCATCTATTCTTTGCTATGAGGCAGGAGCATATTTGGCAGCAGGACCTGCGGCTTCAAGAGAAAACACACGCTCAGGGTAGCAATATCAATGTGATATCAGGGTGGACAGGATGGGGGGGTGGAGGAGGTCTGTCCACATGTTTCAGGGTTGAAGGGCGGGTGGAGGGCGGGCCGGTGGAGGACAGGGTGGACCTGGTGGCGTGCGGGATGGCGGTGGTCCTGGAGGCACCTGGCCTGATGGTGCTGGTCTGGTGGGTGGGCTGGTTGGAGATGGTGAGGTGGGGCGGGTAATGGGATGGTAGTCGGGGGGAGGCGGTGAGGGCACATGGATCGGGGAACGGGGCGGAGCCTTGGTTGCAGAGTCATCTTTTACTCTTGTAAAGTTGATACATCGACCCTGCATGGAGAGAAAGAAACGCTTAACGGCAGCCCAAGTGGTAAGAGAGGAAACCCCTAAACAGCAGCGTCCATGATCAGCAGCGAGAGGAAGGTCATCAAAGGGAAGGCAGGTGTGGTGCTGAGCTCTGAACACCGCAGCATAGTACTAACCATTTTTATACTTCTCTACCTTAACAGGGAGCAACAAAAAAGTCATCAGTGGAAGAAAAGCCAAACCAAGGCTTGCATCCAGGAACACAACCACCTAAAACCATTAAATGAGAGTTTTTATGGACAAAAATCCAGTCTTTCTTCCTTTGATACATATTCTGCCAAATAGCTAGCCCATCATTTTATAAATAATATTTCATCAGTCTGTGTAGGATTGTATAATGTTAGGTGAATAGTTTGATTTAAAATACTTTATTAATCATAAAGCTAAAATTAAATAACATATGAACTGGTAATTTTTGGTTTATTTAGGGTTTGGGCTTAGCACTGCTTAATAGTAAAAAAAAGTATGTAGTTGGCCAGGGGCGTCTCTAGGTTTAAGAGACAAGGGTGGCTCAGCCCCTAGAAGATATTGCGCGCGCATAGCGCGCGCCGAAATTTTTTCAGTGCACCTGCTAAGGCGTTGTCTAAGACAAGGGTGTAACTTTGTGTTGAAAGTTGGTGGGGACGGCTCATAAGGAAAGGGAGCTACCTGCGCGACGCCTTTTTTTTTTTGTTGGAAAGGATAAAGCCAAAAAAATGCGAAAAACATTTATCAATTTAATGCTTACAGTTGAAAACATAACTGTTACAATATTCACTTATATATTTTGTGCAAAAAATATCACATAAATCTAAACAGACAGTACAAATGAAAGAAATCAAATAAATATATCAATTTTGTAGAACAATTATTGAAAGTCAATTTTGGGTCACTTTTTAAAATGAATTTACTTTTAAACCAGGACTCGGACAAGATCTTATGGGACCTTAAGCAGAATATGATTAAGCAACTCCGTCTTTCTGTCAAGAACATCCACTAGCAGGGTATCCAGGGGGGGATTTACCATTAGGCAATACTAGGCAGTTGCCCAGGGCCCCAAGTTCTGGGGGCCCCATAAAACTCTGTTTCCATGTATGGTTAATACAACTAATCCTTATTTGTGCACATTAATTATGTTTTTGATAAAAATCCTTTGGCTAAAAGGCCATCAGAACGCTGATAAATAGAGAGGAAAAAGGGACAAGAAGAGAGGGACAAAACCTAGAACAAATAATGGATGTCTATTCTATTAACATTTCTCTATCTGTAGAATGGGTCTGTTTTATGGGTTTTCTTCTCAGGGGGCCCCCTGCCTGTCTTTGCCTGGGGCCCCAAATTTCCTAAATCTGCCCCTGAGGGTATCAATACTGATTTGATAGAATCTGGGAGAGCGGACTATGTTCAACCATCCATTTTCTTTAACCTTATCCCTCAGTGGGATCAGGAGGTGCTGGTGCATATCTCTAGCCACGTTCTGGGTGAGAGGTGGGATCACCCTGGACAGGTCACCAGTCTGTCGCAGTATGTTCAACCAGCTTAAAAGTAATCGGTAATCAGATTTATTATTTGCACTTTTACTAAGTGAACTTTATAACTCCCTTAAATCTGAAATTCCAATGCCAAAATTGTTTAAATCTTTTATCTTTGGACCCCCTGCAGAGTGACATCACACCTGCAAGATCCTATCCTTACCTTCCTGCTAGATTGCAAAAAGCAGCTTGCTCATGAGTTGTCAACTTAACACGCTAAATCTTAAATGTACATATAAAAGAAAAAGGGGCGCAGTGCTTGCTACTGAATGGCAACACTATCAAAGTCAGGAAAAAGTTTTAAGTGAAGCCGGGATTAAAACAGTAGCTACAAGAAGCTTCAAATAAAAGGTGTTCTTTATGTCCAACCTAAACACCAACTCCGATAGACCATCAGTAGAGCAGGTGTTTAAATTAATCAATCACTGCTGCGAAAGCTTATAGCAGTGAAAGCTAATATACCACAGCCATCACTTAATAAACGCAAAATAATCAACCCTCTAAAAACAGAAAACTGTAATGGACTGAAAGTCCTGTTTTTTATGTGGGAAATTATTTGCGTTGTTTTAGTATAATTCTGAAATATTGGCGCTGTTGTCTGTTTCTATGGCAACGATACTGAATGTAGTGTAGCTTAGAGACCTGCACGGGTCGAGTTTTACCAACCCGCACCCGCCCGAACCCTTTAGGATGACTGCCGAACCCGACCCGTCACCCCCGGATATCTTCAATTCAAATCCGAACCCGACCCGACCCGTTGATATTTAACCCGCAACCCGACCCGTTAACCCATCATAGGCTATTGTACGCTGAGCTGCACCCAGTGCCTGATTAATATTACATTTCTGATGTCCAAGTCCCTCTCACCTGCAAGTCTGAGTCCACTGCTGTCCCTGAATGGATTAGCATTTTTGGAGGGAAGCGACAGGTGTTATGGGGAGAAGGCGGAGGGGGGTGATGGGGAGAAAGCGAGAGGCAACAGATTCTTTTTTCTGAGTTTTTTGTCGGGGTTTGTGGACGGTGAGCAGCGGGGAGAACTTTTTTTATTTTCTTTCTGAGGAGCGGCATGAATGGGGTTTTAATCAGATATACACAGCACCGAAAGCAAAATACGTGTACAAAATATTGGTGGGGACTGTCCCCCTACCGGTCAAGATTGGTGGGGACATGTCCACACCAGTCCTTAAGGAAGTTACGCCTATGATTGTTCAGATTAACTTGTCTTCTTTATGGCTTTTATTCGGTGCTTTACTGCATTTGTTTTGGGAAAATATGAGGAAAAAATAAAAACAGAAAAAAATAAATATTTTTTTTTAAATCGCAACATAATTATAGGGTGGCTAATGCCAAAGAAAGGATGACTGAAGCCACCCTTAAATAGGTCTAACGACGCTTATGTAGTTGGCTCTAAATCAAATTATAAGCCTCATGGAAGCAACTTTACGTTGATGCAAGGAAGAATCGAGCTAAAATGCTAACCCTGCTGATTGAAGCATTCAAATGCTATCCTGCTAACAGCTGAGACCAGGCCGCAGCCAGAGCAAAGGCAACAGAAGCCTTTACAGCAGATCCCTATTGCCAATAACACAGGCTTTAAATACAATCTGTACATTGCAGATTTTACAGCAGCTTTACATAAGCTTGTACAAGTTGACCTGGACTTACACTAAAGCTTCTGTTATTGCACCCATACTATAGAAAGCAATGTTAATCTGGAAAAAAGAACATAACATAGAAGGTACTGAACAGAGATGGAGAAAAGATGTGAAAAAAACAAGCAAAAAAACAAGGTAAATATTTCTGTACCTGTATTTTAAAGTTATTTAAACTGTTGGAAAAACAGATCTAAAACTGTCTAATTGACTGTGGTAACAGAAAACTCTATTGTCCTTTAATAGAGCCTATTTAACTTGATTTCCAAGATGTACAGTACCACCATCTCTACCCAAAGTCATGTTTCCAGTTTACTGCAGTGATGGGTAGTAACTAGATACATTTATCCAATGACATTTACTTCAGTAACTTTAAAGACTACATTTTTATTTATCTATTTTTTTCGTGTTTTTACGGCTCTAGCGGCTGGTATGTTTGGACAGTAGGTTGACAGGAAAGGGGGTATGAGAGAGGGGGGAGACATGCGGTAAACGACCACAGGTCGGATTCGAACCCGGGTCGGCCGCGTCGAGGAGTAAAGGCTGATTTATACTCAGAAACCAGGTCGTCTGCATGTGCGTCGCAGTGAACACAAATGAACCCCCCCACCACCACCACAACCCGGCTGCTCTTCTCCTAATTTGTAGATAATCGCAGACAGGAGGCCTCTGACTGGTCAAATCTACATCCGCTCTACACTAGGCATATCTTCTGTTTGGTAACTTACAGCCTTTTTTTGTTTGTATGACCGCCATTGAGGAAAATGACTCGTGAAGATAGACCAGCTAGAAGAGCGAGGTGTGCAAGAACGCTGGGACCCTTTTTCCACCTGGATCCCCGCTCTTTTTGGCCCTCATGTCCCTCCGTTGTCGGACAAAAAGCCCCCACTTCCTCATCGCCTCGGCCGTATCTAAACTAGAGACTGACATTTTTTCGGCATTGGAGTGGGAGTAATTTCACCAGGAGTGGGACGGGACAGGATTTAGATTTCTACTCTGGCCAGGGATCGGGACGGGACACAATTTTTTTCTGTGGGAGTGGGAAAATCCACTCCCGTGTCAGTCTCTAATCTAGACTCACAGCTAGTTCCTGATTATCCCTCTCGGCTGTGGCGTGGAATAACATAGCGCAGACCACGCTTCAATAATTGGCATAAATCAAAAATATCTGCAACAAGCTCACTGTGACACACTGCTGCAGGAGGATAACCAGCCTGTAAGGACTCTGTACATGGGTCGTATGCACTAACCACTGCGCCACCAAAGCATGCCCAAGACTACAGTAGTTATTCTTTAAAATGCTTTTTAGTTTTTACTGATATTCTTGTGATATTCTTCTTCTTCCACCATTCAAAGATCAGTTAAATATACAGTGAACAGTAGATATCGTAATAGTTTTTACAACCTGAGTTTACTTTAACTTTGCCCTGGTCCTTTAACTTCTACAGTGGACCAGTGATTTAAGATTAACCCGAGAATAGAAATAGATTTAAACACTTTGATATAACAAGGGCAAATAGTACAAATAGTAGAGAAATCTGTGCGGAGGCTTTTACTGACTAATACAACATGCATGCAGTCCAAAGCTCCAAGATTGGGCCTTTTTGGGACTTTGCCCCAATCAGTTTTTAAACTAATTGGACATCTGTCAGATGATGAGCACTTCCTTAGTGAATCAGTATTACAAAAACTTTGCGTTTGCCTCAACTGTTAAGAACAGTTGTTTCCTATTCATGCGTACCCTATTGATAAGTGGTTCATATGCACCCAGTGGAACAATGAGCTCATTAAATTGGTTAAATAA